CATTGCCTTCCTCTATCTTCCAGACCATTCTTAACCATTAATTTTAATTGTTAATTATAATTAATTAATTTTAGAGATGAGACAAGCATTACTCTGGTGTGACTCAAGCAGTCACTACTTTGCTAGAAATACTGGCAAATCTTTTACTAACGTGAAAAAAAATTACAACATGAGAAAAGAATGAGAAAGAGGAATGCATAGGAAGGTATGTCCATGGACCTTGAGAAGAGTGAAGAGGGACTAAACCTGACTTGCACCAGTCAAGAATACAACCCAAAGACTGAGTAATCTAGATCTAACAAATCCAGTACATATGCATCCAGCGATGCTTCCAGTGGAGTGAAGAAACACACTGCTATTGGGGGTCTGAACTGACCTCAAGAAATAGTTATTGTCTTCCTGGTCGTTCCCTAGTTTGTGGGTTGCATGTGGCAAGACAAACCAGCAGTTCATTTACAACCAAGCTCTATTTACAATCCATAAACCACTCTGTTTTCTACTTAATCAATTCAATCTACATTTTTCTAACATCCTGCTGGGTACTGCATCAAGTTATTTATTAGTGGTGTAGTTCTTCAATACACATTTTCAAATAGAGGTATAAAACAACCCTTATGGCAGACATTAAAAATTCATATTTACCAACAATTACCATAAGAACTACAAGACACATCAGGTATTACCTTTCTAAGTGTGTAAAAGCATCTTGCTATATAGCATTATATTTGAGCATTGACTTTCTTATGTTGTAAACAGCATTTGAACTGGTTTCTAACCACAACATGATTAATTCAGTTTTATTATCACTGAAGGCTTAAATGTGGCAACCTCAATATACAGATTTTTGCTAAGCAAAATTTTGAGGATTAATGTGACTTGTACATGCATATCAAAGCTTAAATCACAGTAACAGGTAATTGGACATGAAATTATATTCCATAGATGGGGGAGTGGGGAGGGAAGAATTTATTTCTGCTTTCTGTTATACCTGTAAAAAACTTCTTAAATAAACCCACATATGTATAATCTATCTAAAGGTTTTTCAAGAAGATTCTACAGGAGGAAACAGCTTTTTTTTTATACTTACAAAAATGAAATGAAAGAATGACACAAATAATTTTCATTACATACTGGCAGTGCTTTTATATTATAAGGCCACTTATTTTATATTCTCTTACACTTCATCTGCGTTATTAACCAATTTAATCATAATGGTACTAAAGAAAGAAACTATTAGATTTGTCTTACTTGACCCATTTTTTTCTTAACTGAGAGTGTTACTGTGTACAGTAACATTTTCTCTTAGAATCATGTTCTGTTCTAGATTTGCTTTATTTTTGTTTTAGTGCATGTGAAATTAAATAGCAAAATTAAGGTCTCAAACACAATTTTCTTGCTTTTTTGAAAGCTACCATACAAGCTGAGTAATACTCTTTATTCTTTTCTATATCTTCAAAGATTAAACCAATATTTAAAACTATATCACATACTTAGTTTTTCTTTTTTTTCACTAGACAAGAATAGTGGACATTCAGCTAACATCATGTTAGTTCTTGCAGTAACATCGAAATGCAGTAGCTGTGTACATGGGCAGAAAAACTAAGACGACTACACAGCATGAATCTAAACTACATGCAAACTCCTGCTAAAATACAAAAACTAACAATATCATCTGACATGCAATATTTCCAACTGATTATGTTAGCAATTATAGCAATATTATCTATATTGTAGTATAGCCTAGGAATATTGTCAGTGGATTTTACAACGAAACCTACAAGTAAAATTAAGTTAGTAATAAACAGTGAATAAAGCTTTCAAAAAGCATTTCAAGCTCTTTAACAGAAAAAAGGCTTTTCAAACCTCAGCAGACCTGTGGAAAACAAATATATAAGATGTGTAGGAAATTATAATGGCAATGTATTGAATGTTAATTATATCCAAAGGAAAAGCCGGTATTCCAACAATAGCAGAATGTTCACAAAGGGAAAAACCAAAGGCAGTATTAGAAAGAAATTAGTTTTGACAACATCAGTGAGAATCTGAAGCTAAAAAGCATTACAGAAGTATATATTTGTCCCCAAGCTAGTGTTATGAATCTAGGGTGTTTGGAAGTAAGCTCATATTTAAAATAAATTTATTAAAACTGAAGCTTGAAATTCATATCAAGGACAGCCAGAAAACTTAAACATAACATTGACGTCATTCCCAAGACATGTTTTTCATGATTTAACATGGATTTTTTGTTTCTTCTCTCTCTAATGCAGCACTGCTTCATGACACGCACTGAGGTTGCTTAATAATTTAAGTAGTTTTTCCTTGCCTAGAAACAGCGAGTGTTCTTACACCTCCAGCATGAATTATAAATTCCATGGCTTTATGATATATATAAAGTGCAATCATTAGGAAGTCGAAGAACTGGGGAAACCTAATTCTTCTGCTGGACTTGTAGAGAGACCTCAACCTCTGACAGACCCCACAGCAAACTTAATTTGTAAGTAGGAGTCTGCTGACACTGGCAGTAATATTTAGTCATATGCAGACATTACTCTAGAGAAAATCTTCATGACTGGGCTGGTAAAAGCAGTATAAATTGATGGCAATAACTCTGCAGTTAGAGAATTGAGCTGGTTTGCTACTACAAATAATTCTGCTGGTGGTAGGCATTGGTACACCTAATACTGTCTTGAATTGCAAATAGTCAGAGACCAGCACAGTGTCCACCATTCCCGTGGTGTCCTGATCAGGCCAGTATCACTGTCTCAAAAGCTGTGATGGCAGCATCCCAGCTCAGAAAAAAAACTATGTTCAAGAGTAAACCAGTTGAGCTCAGTAGCAAAGGCTCAGTTGGGTCCAGCTCAAAGCACAGACCCAGCAGGCTCAGCCTCACCATCAGCAGGGAGAGGTGGAAGTGCACCCACCATGACAAGCAGCTTCCACCACACCAAGCATTCGTTTACGACCACCACAATCCTCACCAAGTCTTATCCTCCCTTAAACTGGGATCTGACAACACAACTCCTGCACTACCTTCCGTCTCCATCTTCTCAGCAACCTGTCCAAGATGGTCTCCTTCAGCCCTACATGGATCACCCTACATGGAGCACCTTGGCCACCAGAGGAGAGCACAGGTTTTGCCCTGGCCACTGCAGCCCTCCAGGCACGCCATGTGCACTGACCAGCACCTCAGCAAGGCCTCCGTGTAGAGCAGGGCCTCTTGCTTTTGGATTCCACTAAAGGCTTTTCTTTCTTTGACGAGTAGAAGCCTGCATGTTGTTTGCTTTAAAATCTGAGTACAGCAAATTGTGTTCTTCCTTTTAGGACTCATTTCCACAGTGCTGGCTCTCACAATGTTAATAATTATCGCAATCCATTTGGTCCCTCATCCTGACACCCAGGACAACCCCTTAATTTTGTTTTGTTTTTACTGAAATTAGAGTTCCAAGTTCCATTTTAATTATTTTTATATTTAAATAAATTTGTATGTTTTTCTTTTTATGAATTCCTATTTCCACAGTGAAGATCCTCGCAGTTCAGAACATTCAATCATCCCAGCCATATCCAGCCACATTACGTAACCCATCTTTGAGGAAGCAAATTATTATTGCCATGGAAAAATAGTCATATGCAGTGCTTCTAAATGTTTTATCTTTGACATATTGCATCATTCACTATAAGATATCTTATTTGTGCTTATCCGGCTCACAGTTCAAGACTATTGACACTATAGTGCTGCATCCCTTGCACCCAAAAATACAGCAATGGAATGAGGTATTGCCCAGATACCCATCACTTAAATGAATAAAATCTGAAGGTAAAAAATGAACAGCAAGGAACGAGGGGAGGCATTCCATGCTCTCTTCCTGATGCACGTGCACCCGGCATGACTGGATCAGATTTTCCCAGTATTCTTGTAGCTAGATGTTTCCTCTGTGTGGTAGGCCAGCCCAAGTCAGAAATTTACCAAAACCACCCACACGTTAGCAGAAGTGACCGAAAATAACCCCTGAAACACAACAAATTATAACAATCAAAAAGTATCTACCTGTGTATTGATAGAAACAGGAACAACTCAGAGGGTTCCATTTTCCAAGTAATTTATCTGGACACAGACCCTGCAGTGTGCAAAGTCTTTACAGAAGAAGTTCCATGACTGAAGTCCAGCCTCCTGCAATTTGTGGTTTGAAGTTGATTGCAAAATGTGAAGGTTTTTTCTCACTAAGACATCTGTAAAGACTCCCTCTGTATGAATTTTCCTTCCTCTAATACTGCTTAAATTCATTCTGCAGCCTTTCCTCCAGTTCAGGCAAAGTTTCTTCATTTTGGACACCTGCATTCCTGGAACTGGTACTTAGAAAATTCACATTTGAGATCTTTGCCATGTTTCACTAAAATCAGCCCCAAAGCATTAAAGTTCGGGTAGGGAAGGTGAACACAGGACTTTGGATGGGTAAGAAGCACACATCATTTCAATGTGGTTTGAAAAGGTTTGCTTCCTTTGAAAACTCAGTTTTTATGTAATCCTGTTTTACGGGGAAACGCCAACCACTTGTGGTGGGTCTGGCCTTTATTTTGAACTTGGAAGATGCCGCTTTGATTGATATGTCCTAAATTTGGTAGCCAGTGCAGCAGTGAGCTGAGGTGTTTGCAGTGTCTCTCATGGGCTGCTCGTTTTGACCTTTTTTTCATTTCTGTTTCACTCTGGGCCACTCCAAAAAATAAATACATGGCATCATATCGTGGAAGTGCTAATCATATCACACCAGAGCACTTGATCACTGGGGGACACCTCCCAGGTGCCTTCCGTCCCTGAGGGGCCTTTCTGCACAGGGTGAGTGCGAGAGAAAACCAAACCCCGACACTCTTGCACAGCTGGAAAGGCTCAACTTCCTCCCCACCCCGACAGCAGCGGGCTTTTACAGCGGGTGATGCCGGGTGTGTGTGTGTGCTCAGGGGAGGATATGGGTGGGGCCCAGGGGGCAGCGGAGCCCCGCGGCCGCAGAGCCGGGGAGGGCCCCGAGCTTCCGTCCCGGCGGCAGCGGCCGGGACTGAGCCCTGGGGCCGGGACTGAGCCCTGGGGCCGGGACGGAGCCCTGGGGCCGGGACTGAGCCCTGGGGCCGGGACTGAGCCCTGGGGCCGGGACTGAGCCCTGGGGCCGGGACTGAGCCCTGGGGCCGGGACGGAGCCCTCGGGCCGGGAGAGCGGAGGCAGCGGAGCCATGAGCCCGGCAGGTCGGTGCGGGGCGGGTTGCGAGGGCGGGGAGGATCCCGCAGGGTTTAGTGTCCCGGTGCGGTGTTGGGGATGGAGACCTCGCCCTTGAGTAGCCCTCAAGCTCAGGCTGTCTCTTGTCTCTCTCTAATGCAGCTCGTACGGTGTCGCAGTACCGGCGTAGCTTTGCTGAAGAGAAGGAGATGTAGCACCAAGAAGTTAGGAAATTAAAAAATAAAAGTTGTACGAGCAATGTTAATTCGGTTCTACATGTGTATCTGCTCTGGGATAGTCTTAATTGGCTAATCATGTGTTGTGTCATTAGTTAAAAATTGATCATCCTCTTGCAATCTCTCAGCTCTCCATATGGGATCCAGCCTGGACTGTACAGCAAAACCATGCTAGACTTTGCACAGGAATATTAGTTCCTTTTTTATGCTTTTATTGGTGTTTATTTCAATATCTGGGTGCCTCAAAGCTGTTAATGTGTGTTTTGTTACTCCCTTGGTAATGTTGGAATATATTATCCCATTGACTGGTGTCAATGGGATAAATTTGTTGAAAAGTTAAAGTTACTTCTGAAGTCATCATGTAAATCAGAGACAGACCAGTCACAGAAACCTGTGACTCCATGTCCCTGTGTCCCAGTCATGTTCCCTTATTCACAGAAATACTGTAAAATTACTGCTCCCATTTTCTTCGCGTGGCTTTGCAAGGCTCAGCAACACTTAAATCAAGCCAGTGACTGCCAAGCTGGGCACTCAGTAAAAGGAAATTAAAGACATGTAGCCAGATACCAGAGGTTTGACTGACTTCTTTGCGGGGAGCTCAGCCTTATTTTTGTGATTCTTTTATTAGGTGAGACAATATTTTATCCTCATTTTCTGAATGAGGAATCAAGAAAGAGAAGTCTGAGGGCCTGAGTCTGCAAAGGTGACTCAATGCTTTGTTTTTCTGTTCTGATTCATCATTTTAAATGACCGCTTCCAATGTCAAGACCAGTTTTTTGCCAAGTACTTTATATTTTGTATCGCTTTGTGACATCGGACTAGCCACATTAGTTATTAGCTATTGAGTGTACCTTTGTAATGACATTAGCTTTACAAGCCATCTTTACATACTACTCTCATTATACAGATAAAAACACCAGGGAAGAAAGATAAAGTGACTTTTCGAGCTGTTTCATAGTAAGTTAGTTGTTGGTAAAATATAAAAACTCAGTACTGTTTTGCTTTCTACCTAGGGCTGGTGGTGAAATGGGTATGGTTATTGTACTGGTTGTTTTCTATCTAGACCCATCTTCCAGTATTGCAAGCATCTTTAAAGAAGAAAACTGCATATATGAGCAAAACTACATTTAATAGCATTTCCAAATACGCATATGCTATCCCAATTATTAGGCAGACTGATGTTTGTGGATGTGAACAGTCAGCAGGACAGTATTCTGATAATCACAGCAGTATGCTCAGTGATTGTTCTGTATCAATTACAGGATACCACTGTGCATGGCCTGGGGGCATATAGTTTGGAGTCTGGATCTTGGTGAATAAAGGCAGTCAAATCCTGAGTATGCATGTGAAATAGCTGGAGTAATTGCTGAGTAAATATGTAGGAACACCAAAGAGGAATGGCTGCTTTCCCAGCTGCTTGCGGCCAGTTGCACACATTGGCAGGGGAGCAAGTAGCAGTAGGCTCAGCCAGCAGGGGATGCACTGGCCTTCTACTCTGGCGTCAGTTGTCTGTCATTTTTTCATGTATTGCTCTGCCTAAGCTTCATCACCTGCGACCTCCACATACAAACCTCTCTCCTGCAGGTTTGCCACAGCATCAAACCTTTCTTTTATAGATAGAAGTCTGTTGTCTGCAGGGGTGTATAGAGGTCTGTTTTCTCCTGATGGAACAGCATCTGTGAGCTACTGAGGTTGCTTCAGGTGGATTGCCCAAGGCCTAGTCTGGCTCAAATCTGAAAACTGTTTGGGATGCTTGGTTTGACAGACAGGCTTGTTACTTGTCAGGACTGCGTAAAAGACCCGAAACTAGATGAATTTCATGCAAATTCCATTAAAGCTGCTGTAACTATTAGAGATAAAACATCTGTAATGTGTGATCTTTGATGGCATCTGCTTTCCTTTGGGACAGGAGGCACTGACAGGATAACTTCATTGCTATGCCATGTTGGAGTCATCACTCCTCTCCACATTCAGGAGTGTAATTATCTTCACTGAGCTCTTTCCTTGTGTGTCCTTTATTTACACAGTGTACATTTTTGTATCTTCAGCTCTTTCTGGGTCAATGTTTATGTAAGTGATGTTCTGGGAGGGAATCTAGACAGCAAACAGACACAAGTAATACTTGATTTTTTTTTTTCTCAAGAATTAGGGAGTGCGTGAATTTTTAGTAGTCAATAATATTTCAGCTCCTTCACTTTTAGGGGAAAAAATGAGTTCTCAGACAATTATTTAAATCAAAATCCAAAAGATCTAGTGGTGGAGTTTTGAAGCAGATTCAGTAAGACCATTTTAATACAAATCTTAATATTCACATTCAATATTAATTATTAACTAATATTAATATTAATAATAATATATTACTAATTTGAGTATCAAAGAAAGCAGAACTGAAGTACCTCAAAGCTATAATTTGCCTTCGGAAATGTTGGGATGCTCATTCAGATTCAAAATTTGATCCTAAGAAGCTGTGCTCCTTATGCTGATCCTCTCCCATCTCCCTTCTGTTGCAAGCAGCAATTAGTGAAGTTTGCATAGAAGCAATTGATCACCCACATTTGAAAAATTGTAGCACTGATTCCACTGATGTTGTGATAAAGGTGAAAGAAAGCAGAAATCTCAGTTTCTTAAAAGAAGAACATTTGTGTCTAGGGACTCAAAACCCACAGTGTGACTCTTTCCCTGTGTATCTCTTGAAGCTGGTCTCTGAGGATATGATTAGTTTATATACTCTTTTATCTGCTTGTAGGTAATAAATAATGTTCTATATCCTCTAACAAGCTTAAGTGCCCCAATGCAAACAGCAGCAATAACTTGTGATATAATTATATCCCCAAGGGAGGTCCAGTGATTTCTATTGTTAAAAAAATCAAGTTGTGCTGACCTTTTTTGTAAATCAAAATTAGACTACTGCAATGTGAACTGTGATTAAAAAAACCCTATTTTTTATTAAATGTAAACAAAAGTAATAATTTTAGAATGGTATTGAAAATATTTTTGAAACCACTGTGAAGACAGGAAGGGAGTCACGTATACCAAGATTTAAACTGGAATTTATATCAGGTAATGATATTGATGTTCATTTAGTGTTTATTGGCTCCCTGCATTGTAAAATAGCAAGGCTTTGTATGAAGCCACAGTGTATAATTTATTCTGTCACAGGCCTGACAGTTAAAGCAAATTGGTCTTACCATCCCCATCATTACTTTGTTTTTCAATGTTTCTGTGAGCTTTAGTGTACAGTTAGGTAAAAAGAGCCTTACACTTGTTTGACATGGAGACTGTTCAAGCAGAGGTACAGCTGAATTTGGAAAGCACCCATTTACATTTGGATCACATGCTTAACAGATGGAAAGGACTTGAAACTTTACACAGGTGTTTATAAATAGCTGCAGTCTGTGGCTAAGGTTCACTGCTCTTACTTCTGTGTAAGAAGTAAAGAATTCATGTAAGACCATGAAACAGAAATGCAGTGCCTTTGTCAAGTTTCATAGGTTTTTTCTCTGTACCTAGTGGTAAACTTACTTCAAGTGAGTTGCTCAATCTTGCAGGTCTTCATAGCTGAAAAAAATGTATGGTTGTGTCTGGTCTTTCTGCTGGAGTGTACCACAGCTTCTGTCCAGCCCTGCATCCTTGTGTTTCCTTTCTGGAGAAACCAACATCAGAAAGGAGGCTTTCCTGCTTGTCAGAGTTTTGCCATGATACCAAGTTCAGGTGGAACTGAATAGAGCAGCTGGATCTAAGAGCTAACACCTGCTCCTAGAGCCCCTATTCTAGACATGCATAAAAGAGTTTCCTTACAAGAAATAATGTCAGACTAAAAGATAAACAACCTCCTGACCCCAAACCCGACTGAGACCCTGTCACATAAAGTTCAATTCATGCCTAAATGTGCTTTATCCTCCACATTTCTCACCGCTGGGGACAGCCGTGTGTTGTGTCTCTCAAACAAAGCAAGGTATTTTCCTGTCAAAATTAATGATACTTTCACTCACTATTTTTTGTTATACTTGCTTCCAATTAAAAAAAAAAAAAAAAACCTAAACCCAAAAAGAAATATTAAATTGTTTTGTTATTCTCTCTACAGGTCAAGTGTTAAGTTGTGAAGAATAAATAATTCAAGTTTGTTTACTGTATTCAGTAAAAAGTGGTGTTTGTTTTTAATATCGGATTAGAGGAACAATTGAAATAGTAAGCATTATTTATTTTCTAGTGGAAAATATCAAAAATTCTAGAAGCTTTTGGAAAAATGGAACAATGACTAGAATGCCATTTATGAATTCAACTTTTAAGAAATAAGGTAATATATGCTAAACATATTTTTGTATAGTGTACCCTTCTGTTTTTCATAATTTTCATTTATTTGTGAAACATTTACAGTTTAAATAGATGAAAGGAAAAAAATGATGGCTTGCCTGGAATGAACATGGACAATTTTTAGTAATTTGAAGACTGAAAATAAAAGTCTTCATGTTAAGCAGTGCTGTGTCTTCTGTAAAAATGAAAGGTTAAATATAGTACAGACTTCAAAGCAGTTTATTGCTAATATGCCAGTGAGCATTAAATGAAAACAAGCAGTGCTTTAATCAGAAGCCACAAGTGTGGCATGCCTCTGATTTATTAAAATTTGTAATTGAAAACACTTAGGCATTTGCTTTTTGTTAAATTATAACATGCCTAGTGACAGAAATAAATTTCTTAAATTAACAAACCCATATTAACCGCAGAAACCAGGTATCTTCTGTGTTTGATTAGACTCCCCTTAAAAATATGAAATACTGGGGGAAACTAGTAAA